GTTCTTTGTTACCTTCAATATTTTTTCTCTACAATAGCTTCCATGCATATGTATGCAGCATATTTTTCATATACCAAGTATTTATGATTTCTTGAATCAGTTTGTTTCTGATATGGCGGAATATGCGCTATGATTTCTTAAAGTTGCAGTCATTCTTTGAATAAATATAGCTTGTGAGGTCATTTAAGGCCACATCAATTTGATTTCTTGATCTTCGGGCTTTTGGCCAAACTATTAAAGAACACAAATCCATGTTTGCCAATGAACTACACGTCACCATGTGCTTAACTCCATAACACACAAAGCATTCCAACTTTTCTCTACTCTTATATTATCATTAAACGTTTTAAGGATGTCATATTATTAGAATGCCAAACTAAATTGGTGGTGTTAAAATTTATAGTTATTTTCTGAGATATCGAAATGTCAGTGACGGTCATGAAGTAGCTAAGCATTTTATAGTATTTATGGGCTATACAACTTTTGACACATTCAAAAAGGTGTGACATTTGTTTTCAAGTCCGTATTTAAATAGAATACCAAACAATATTTCTTTTTAACTCTAAACATGAAGAGATCATGATGACATTTTTTAAAATTTTCTCCCATACTTTGTGACGGTCCTAGTTCCTGGAGTTTTCAGTATTTTAACATAGTTCGTGTTTCCCCATTTACAAATTTATTGAAGTTGATCCCCTTCCAATTTTATGATATATACTAGTATGCAGCTGTTAACATTATAACTGTTAATCATATATGCACAAAAAGAAATGTCAGAAGATGTGGGAACGTTTTCGTGATTAATTCATCACCATATTTTCATAATATGCTATTAGATAGACGTTTTTCGTGTCAATACCAATCAAACACTATCCAGTTTCGATTACCTTCTTATTTATTAATACCGAAATTACGATTATCATCCCGAATTTTTCGACGGCAATTTTCTAAGCGCTTAGACAATTATAGTGCACCGTTACGATTCAAATATGATGTAATGGTATAGAAAAACCTTGCAGCTGAGTAACTCTTGACAACAACGGGCTACATTTGAGAATAAAATGCTCCGCAGGGCGCAGCTTGATACGACCGCAGAGGTCGAACCCTGAACAGTTGGGGCAAGTATGGACACAACATTCAAGCTTGATACAGCTCTGAATTTGGATTGTGATTAAATATTTGACACAGCATAGGTTTCTGACACAGAATGAATGTGGTCTAAGAACTTAAAAATTTTAAATTGGACATTCACCTATTATGGTCCAATATCCAAAATCTAAATACATGGTTAGATTCAGCATATCAAAGAACCCCAAGAATTCAATTTTTGATGAAATCAAACAAAGTTTAATTTTGGACCCTTTTGATCTCAATGTGGACAAAGTTGATAACGGGGCCCAAAAATCAAAAATCTAAATACATGGTTAGATTCAGCATATCAAAGAACCCCATATATTCAATTTTTGTTGAAATCAAACAAAGTTTAATTTTGGACCCCGATTTGGACCAACTTGAAAACTGGGCCCATAATCAAAAATCTAAACACGTTTAGATTCAGCATATCAAAGAACCCTAAAAATTCAATTTTTGTTAAAATCAAACTAAGTTTAATTTTGGACCCTTTGGACCTTTATGTAGACCAATTTGAAAACGGAACCAAAAATTAAGAATCTAAATACACGGTTAGATTCGGCATATCAAAGAACCCCAATAATTCAATTTTTGATGAAATCAAGCAAAGTTAAATTTTGGACCCTTTGGACCTCAATGTGGACCAATTTAAAAACGGGGCCCAAAATCCAAGAACTTAATACACGGTTATATTCAGCATATGAAAGAACCCCATATATTCAATTTTTGTTGAAATCAAACAAAGTTAAATTTTGGACCCCGATTTGGACCAACTTGAAAACTGGGCCCATAATCAAAAATCTAAATACATGGTTAGATTCAGCATATCAAAGAACCCCATATATTCAATTTTTGTTGAAATCAAATCAAGTTTAATTTTGGACCCTTTGGACCTTTATGTAGACCAATTTGAAAACGGAACCAAAAATTAAGAATCTAAATACATGGTTAGATTCAGCATATCAAAGAACCCCATATATTCAATTTTTGTTAAAATCAAACTAAGTTTAATTTTGGACCCTTTGGACCTTTATGTAGACCAATTTGAAAACGGAACCAAAAATTAAGAATCTAAATACACGGTTAGATTAGGCATATCACAGAACCCCAATAATTCAATTTTTGATGAAATCAAGCAAAGTTAAATTTTGGACCCTTTGGACCTCAATGTGGACCAATTTAAAAACAGGGCCCAAAATCCAAAAACTTAATACATGGTTAGATTCAGCATATTAAAGAACCCCAAGAATTCAAGAATAAAACCCCATTGAAATTGATCAAGAAATAAGCAATTTATACAAAGTATATTCTTTTGCACAATACTGTGCAATTGAATATTTCTTGCTATTGCGCAATACTGTACAATTGACAATTTCTTGCTATTGCGCAATATTGTGCTATTGGATATTTCTTGCTATTGCGCAATACTGTGCAATTGAAGATTTCTTGCTATTGCGCAATACTGTGCAATTGAAGATTTCTTGCTATTGTGCAATACTGTGCAATTGAAAATTTCTTGCTATTGCACAATACTTATTGTATAATAATTTACACATCCTGTTTGGTGTGTATTTCCTACCATATCATTATTATTTGCTTTTAAATATAAATCAGAAATAACCAACTTAAAATGGAAAATTTTAAAAGAAAAAAAAAAGGAAAAAAAGAAAAAAAAAGAAACCACCCCCCCCCCCCCCCAAATTTTTTGAACCCCCTTATGATTCATCACCCCCAAACTCAATCCCAGCCTTCCCTTTGTGGTATGGTATCTTGCAGTACAATTTCAGAGAGATCCATACAATTGAACACAAGTTATTGTCTGGAAATTAGAAAAATGCTTATTTTTGGCCCCTTTTTGGCCCCCAATTCCTAAACGTTTCGGGCAATTACCCCCAAACTCAATTCCAGCTTTCCCTTTGTGATATGGAACCTTGTAGTACAATTTAAGAAATATCCAAACACTTACACACAAGTAATTGTCATGAAACTAGAAAAATGCGTTTTTTGCCCCTTTTTTTGCCCCTAATTCCTAAAATTTTGAGGCAATTACCCCCAAAATCAATTACAGCCTTCCCTATGTGATATGGAACCTTGTGGTACAATGTCAGAGAGATCCATACACTTACACACAAGTTATTGTCTGGAAGTTACAAAAATGCTTATTTTTGGCCCCTAATTCCTTAACTGTTGGTACCATAACCCCCAAAATCAATCCCAACCTTCCTTTCGTGGTATTGAACCTTATGGTAAAATTTCATGGAGATCCATTAACTTAAACTAAAGTTAGAGTGCGAAAACCAATGTGTCTTCGGACGATGACGACGCCGTCATACCAATATACGACCAAAAAATTTTTAATTTTTGCGGTCGTATAAAAATGACTGAAAAGATTTTACCTATATCTGCCGTTGCCATATTGGGATCGTCGTAATTCCAGTTATGATTATCAGTTTAACACCAGTGGTGCTTACACCATTCAGATTATACCCAATATATATTGTAATTCAAGCCAACAACCAATGCCATATTTTGATTGAAGTTTACTATTAAGCTGGCATAAATAGTGGTTCACAAACCTTTAATATCAACTGAATGTGTGTATTTTTTGCATCTTTTAAGTGTGATAGTGAGGATCTGCAGACAAGCTCTTGAAGCCAAAGTCACATCAACTGTTGACAGAGAAATATGTCTTGCCTGTTAGGCTGTATGTAATTTTGATGTTGTAAAAAAAATAGCAATACTTTAACACATAAAATATTCAGTCAATGATCCATTGGTGACCGGCCAAATAATTTCCGCGGAAATGAGATGCACCAATACTTATACAGCTGCATACTAATCATCATTGATTCACCACAATCACTAACTTCAACTATGCAAAAGTTTCAAAGTCATGACTGAGGGAAAAGGGCCCAACTATCTCCGTGGAAATGCTTTTATAACTGCATAGCAAGTATCATGGACTTATAAGTGGTTCCATTGAACTCACCCATCCACAAACAAACATTTTAACTACGCAACAGTTGACCCCACCATCAGATAAACACCATAATCTAGCTTTTTGACTTCAAGGTGGGACCTCAAAATACATACAAATTTATATATTTGCAATAAATCAACACCTTTCATTTCAAGAGTATAAGAACAATTCATTCTTCCATCTTTTCACACTGACAACTATTCCTTAATGTTATGCAAATGCCAATACAATGCTCCACATGGCGTAGCTGGATACGACCGCAGAGGTCGAACACTGGACAGTTGGGCAAGTATGGACTCGACTCTGAATTTGGATTGTGATTAAATATTTGGTACAGCATAGGTTTCTGACACACAATGAATGTGGTCAAAGAACAGAAAAATTTGAAATTGGACTTTTACCTATTATGTTATTGTAATACCTGTTACCATACAACAGTCATTTGTGATTTTAAAGTAATGCTTTCAATTTGAGTTTGATCTTGATAATGTGGTGCCTTACTCTTGACATTCCGAGTATCAGATAAGAACAGAAAGCACATGGCAATCTAGAATGAAACATTTCAATACATAGCACTAACAAGTTCTAGCTTGAAATCTACAGAAGAACCAAGGTGTCACAACCATAAGACAAAGCATAAAAGAGACAGGTAGGGAGAAACTTTTCAGAATAAAATATTGTCGTTAGCATTTCATTGAATGCACTTTATAGTCACAGCCATCAAATAAACGTTTAGAAACCTTCATCAAAATAAGACAAACTAATCTTGATACAAACAATGACAAGGCTATTCCATTACAAAGCTACACCTTCTCATATCAGAACATGTCTATCTTTATAAAAGGGTCTGTATAAATCACACTGTTGTTGGTTTTCATCTCATAAAAAATTAATAAAATCATTTATTCTTTCCAGAAGGTTTATTGTCTTTTAATGGTAGCCATAGCTTTCTATAACTTTCTGGTATGGTGATATTTTCTTTGCAATATTCTTCTTTGCCTTTTCTCGGAGTGCCTGTAATGAAAATATTACATATGTATTTTTTGGAAAAACTTTTGTTGTAGCATACTATCATTCATACAATGTTAACTATACTTCTGTATACATGCTGTTAATAATGTTTCATGTCAAGGGAGGGATTGACTTGCCAATTAAAATGTAAAGCCAGATTGTTATTGCCTTGATATGATGCCGGCTTTCACTTTGAAATTCTTTCTTTTTTATATTGTTTTTTTCCCATTCTTTCTTATCTGGAACCTTTTTATGTTTCATTAATTTATGGTTACATCATGAATCAGCAATTTAGGCAATGCATGTTGAATTATGTGGAAACTACATTAACAATAAATTAGAATACACTTATTTCCTTAAGTTTATTTACAGTACTAGCTGTTTAAATATCAAACATCCATACCTAATTTTAAACTCTATTAAAAACAGATATCAATACATTTAGCAAAATTTTAGCAATGTTTGGAGACCATTATCAGAAATTTAAGACAAAGGAACAGAAATGGCTTAGAATCAGCAAGTTGATAGAGCCCACTGACTGTACCTTCTGTTGCCATGACATGTTTCAGTTGGTGGTACATGCTTGTTTTCACTATGAATCAATTCAGTGATTCGGTGATTAGTAAATCATCATCAACATGTCACAAATGTACAGAAATGTGTTCAGCAATGATGCAAATAAAATTTGCAAGGAATATATAATAAATGCATGTTGAGTGATATGTATAAATAAGCAGTGGAAGCTCTTTAATGCCGATTTAAATAAACTGCTTCGCTGAGCGCAGCTGGATACGCCCGCAGAGGTCCAACCCTAAACAGTTGGGGCAAAAATGGACACAATATTCAAGCTTGATACAGGTCTGAATTTGGATTGTTATTAAATATTTGACATATTATAGGTTTCTGAATAAATGTAGTCAAAGAACTTGAAATTGGTTATATGAATTAAATTTATATTCAATTAAAGATTTCTTGCTGTTGTAAAATACACTGTGTTGTTGTGCAATACACTGTGCTGTTGCGCAATACTTAGTAAATCTGTTGTCAGACTATAAACAAATAAAATCTTATAACTCAGAAACGTAAAATCAAAAATTTATAAAAATCAAAAGGGAGCTTACATCAATAGATATAAACAATTTACGAAAGTTTCATAAAAAATGCTTTCAGCATTTTTGAGTTATTGTCCGAAAACTGGAAAATCCCCCGTTTTGTAATGAAAAAAAAACACCCATAAATCGGAAACGTATAGTCTAAAATTTATAAAAATCAAAAGGGAGCTCATGTCGATAGAAATAAACAATTCAAAGTTTCTTGCAAATTGGTGAAATTGTTTTTGAGTTATTGTCCGAAAACTGGAAAACCCCCCCTTTTTTAATGACTAAAACCCCAAAACTCTGAAACGGTAAATCTGAAATTTAAAAAAAAACGAAAGGGAGCTCACATCAATAGATATAAACAATTCACCAAAGTTTCATGCATATTGGTTAAAGCGTTTTTGAATTAATGTCCGACATGTTGACGACGGACGGACGGACAACGGTATACCATAATACGTCCCGTAAACGGGCGTATAAAAATAACACAACCCTTGCACAAAAGTTATTCACAAAGAAATTGTTTTTGTAATCATCAAAAAATTTCCACAAAATGTCTTATGTCAATTTAGTCAATATTTTCTTGAAATTAGTCTTTAATCTTAATGAAAGGAGGTGTTGAGTATAGATTAAAATGAAATATGTTGAGAGTATACATTAAACTAACAGAAACAAACAAGTAAAAAATATCAAATTAATAATGATTTTTTAAAAATGTTACAAACATTTATTTTATCGGACAAATTTTAATATTCTGTTAGATTAACGGGCCATATAATTCCTTTAACTATTGATGTATTAGATAATTTTAAAAATGTCATGTAAGGCATCAGTATTATTAAAGACCTAATGATCCACTTTTGGAAAATTTGGCAAATTAAAAAAGTGTACAATAAGTTGATTTTTGCCATATAATTTTGATTTCCTTTTATTAAAGATACTTTCAACAATTTATGTTACTTCTACCTTTATGTCATAATGACATGTTCAATACTTTTAGAATGATACCTTTATGTCATAATGACATGTTCAATACTTTTAGAATGATACCTTTATGTCATAATGACATGTTCAATACTTTTGGAATGATACCTATCTAGAATATAACAATGCACCTTTCAATTTACACTTTACTAGTGTCTGGCTGCTGCATCAAAGCTAATAAGCAGGTGTCTATGTTTTAACTTTTAGTGCGGAAGCACTATGCCTGCATTAGTTTATTTGCAGGCATGTGTAAAAATGTTAAAACATTCACAACTTAAAGAACAATTTTCTAAAAGCAGACAATAATACTTGTAATAATTTTTTTTAGCTTGTTTTGATGACCATAACAGACATTTTAATTAGACAACAGAAATAGCTGAGAACCAACAGGTTTGTATATCCTTTAAATTGTACCTTCTGTTGCCATGACATGTTTCAGTTGGTGGTACATGCTTGTTTTCACTATGAATCAATTAAGTGATTCGGTGATTAGTAAATCATCATCAACATGTCAGAAATGCATGGTAAATATGTTCCATACTAATACAAGTGTTCACAGAATATTCAATAAATGCATGTAAAGTGAACCAATTTGTACAAACAAACAGGGATTAAAATTTCAATTTTCTCCAATTTCCAAATTAAGCCAGTTAACTTCAACATTGCTATTTTTGTTTCTTACATTTGCTTTCACAGGCTATGGTGTCATATGAAATTACAGCAAATACAATTAATGACGCAAGTATATATTTTTTTAAATTGGGCTCTTTCATGCAAATTCAAAAAATACAGCAAAAACCCTTGCACAGAATGTTATTCACACAGGAAGTTTAATTTTTTATATTTGCCAAATAAAATAATGCTTGTTTCCCCATGTTAATTTAACAAACAATTAGCCTTAATCTTTCACATCGACAACTAACAAAAGAGGTTAAGTATATGTAAACAAGACACCAACCCAACAACATGAAAATTAATTCAGTTATTTTGAAACCATACAAATACATGCAGGTTCATCACAAAATTAAATAATCATGTACTGTTATATTATTTTTTTTAAGACATCAGTACTTTTATAGTACAGCGTTCTGATGGTAACTCTTTTTTTCCATGACATATTTCAGTTGGTGGTACATGTTTGTTTTCACTATGAATCAATTAAGTGATTCGGTGATTAAGTAAATCATCATTAACATGTCATGAATGTTGATATTAATTATGTCACTGATAAGCTACCTCTATTTTCTTCTTTCTCTCATAGAATCTCTTTGATTTGACTTTACGTCTGGCTTCCAATGATGAGACAACCCTCTGGTACTTCCATCCAACTTCATGTGACAGTCTGTTCAGATCACAGTACTAAAATATGTTTTATAGAGATCAAAAAAATTGGACTTGGAAACAGGAATACAATCAATATCTCAAAAATAAACCTACACAGAGATATATCTAGTTTGTGTGACCTAATTACAAAATTAACATTTGTTGACTCTGAGGAAAACAGCAAGCCGAAGCGAAATTATACAGATTGTGTTACAGATTTGATGCTATTTATTCTAGAAACAAGATGGTGTTTTAAAATTACTTGTTTACCAAAATGCTAAATGAAATTCATGGTGGAGAACACCGGACTAAGTCTCACAAGGGAGACAACGAAAACCCAAACGTTCAAAATCAAAGGATGTTGTCTGTTGTGTTCCTTTTACTAATATTAAATTATTCCATTAGAGAAATAAATCATACATGCTGCAAAAATGTCATGCCATTTAAAAGACAATTAACTGTAGTTGCATTCTCTGTGACATATTTCAGTTGGTGGTACATGATTGTTTTCACTGTAAATCAATAATGTGATTCGGTGATTAAGTAAATCATCATCAATATGTCCATGATAAGAGAACTACAGCTATTTTTTTTGGGGCTTCTACTAGGGTATAGGGAGTTTGTAAATATTCTTGGGGAAAATTGTTATTTACAAATGTTTTATAATATATATCATAGAAAACCATGCAAGATAGAATGTATGACAAATCTTCAACAAAAAGTTCCAAATAGGAAAATGTCCCAAGAGAGTAAACAGCCATGAAATTACGTATAACATGTTTTTTGTCTTCCAAACAGTCAGGGGTACTACTTAAACAAGTGATTTCAGAATCACTCCCTCAAGTGATTTTGACTGTGAAATATTAAAAAATTTCACACAGACTTTTTAAAATCACTGAAACAAGTAATTTTAGAAGTTAAAATGTAATCACTTTAATAAGTGTTTATAACATGTTCTTGATATTTTTCCCACAAGCTTGATTTTTTTATTGGTAAAAAGACAATAATTCCATTGAAAAAACAACTATGTATATGCAGAAATTGTCTTTTGCTTGATAAGCCTGACACTTTTACAGTTTTTTAAAATATGCAAAAACTGGAATAGTTTGTAGATCAGGTCATAACCTTGAAGTAGATCATTCTAACTCTTAAGAAAACCAATCAGGTTACCTAATATTGTTGATCTTTGTCTGATAGTAAGAGTAGTTAATGAATTTTTGATTACAGAAAAATTCCCAAGGGTACTTTTAAAAGCTTTAGGGCACTAACTTACTGCCCAAGCGCACTGGTGAAATTAATATACAAAGAAAAAGGGATAATTGATTTATGTAGGAAAATTATAGAAAAGATTGTGAAAATATGGAAAATCAATGAAATTAGCATTTGAAGATCAAAGAAAACACTAAAATCACTTAAATAGGTGATAACTGAATTTATCAAATCACTGAAATAAGTGATGATGAAATCACTTGTTTAAGTAGCACCCCTGACTGCCAAAAGTGGATTTAAAAAATCTGTTTTTCTGTTAAAAATCTTTTTTTTAGGAACAAGACCCATATGTTTCTATATTTTGAGGAAATTCTATGATCTGTTTCAGTTGGTGGTACATGTTTGTTTTCATGAGAAATCAACAATTGATTCGGTGTTAAGTAACTCATCATCAACAGATCTATATCAGGCCAATTATTTTCATGATATTCACAAGCCTGTCACAAAATAAACAAAAAGAAAAATGTCTACACTGTAGGTGTGCCAAATTAGCTATGGGGTTTTGAAAGCATTTTTTAATTTTATCCCTCCATGCATAAAATTTAATTGACTATTTCATATTATTGTTGAGGCTATCTTTCTAAAATGATCATAACCTATATATTTAAACTTATTGCAAGTGCCTTTCTAACCCGCCACCTTTAGAATATATTTGGGAACCGCCCATAATTTAGAAGATGTTTCAAGAAATGAGTTATTGCAAGAGGTATGCATTTCTCTCAATTTTGAAGAAGTATTTATGCAGTACAACTGATGTATTAATTTACCACAAATATAATGTTTAAAACTACAATGTTGAACAAAAACATCGACACTTCAGTGATGAGGGTTCACTTTGCATTTACACAGGTAAATTGACTTATATTTGTTTACTACACAACAACAAATTGAAAGAAATGTCAGATTTTAATTTCCATTTCATATAGATCAAGGTAGGTAAGGTAAAATCATCACTCATTTCTATCAGTTAAATTTTCCCTCACATTGCCTCAATCAATATTACGGACTGCAACAGCATAAATCAAAACCAGGGGAATAACGAAATCAAAAGTAGATGGGAACATAGCACATTTCTACTATAAAGATCTTTACCTTCCTCATTGGATTCAGTCTCAGTACTTTGAGTGCAGATGGTACCACTTGTCTCTTTTGTTTGTCGTATGGTGGGGGAATACCCTCAAACACTTTTAGTCTGGCCAGAGCTTCCTTTCCTCTGGTTTGTTTATGTGGTACCATTCCTATATTTACATTAATAATAAATAAATTTTTCAATATTTATAAAAAATAAGGCACAGATTATTTAACTTTTTTAAATCTTGAAAAAGGTATATATGCAGCAGATACTTTATTAAATTACTGCAAAAGGAGTTATAATGTCTGTAAGGTTACTCCAACACTTCAGCTATGAAGGTCAACCTGGCTAGGTTGGTTTACTTTCCTTCATACTGCACATGAAATATAAAACAGAAAGAAATGTCAGATATTAATTTCCATTTCATATAGATCAAGGTAGGTAAGGTAAATCATCATTCATTTCTTTCTGTTTAATTTTTCCTTGTCTTACTCTAAACTAACATTATAGATTACAACTTAGCATTTTATTCAAGCTACACCATACATACAAACTCATCAGTATAAAGTAGTAATAAAATGCTTCGCTGGGCGCAGCTTAATACGACCGCAGAGGTCGAACCCTGAACAGTTGGGGCAAGTATGGACACAACATTCAAGCTTGATACAGCTCTGAATTTGGATTGTGATTAAATATTTGACACAGCATAGGTTCTGACACAGAAAGAATGTGGTCTAAGAACAATTTTTTTAATTTACCTATTATGGTCCAATGTCCAAAATCAAAATACATGGTTAGATTCAGCAGATCAAAGAACCCCATATATTCATTTTTTGTTGAAATCAAACAAAGTTTAATTTTGGACCCCCAACTTGAACAAACTTGAAAACTGGTCCCATAATCAAAAATCTAAACACATGTTTAGATTCAGCATATCAAAGTACCCCAAGAATTCAATTTTTGTTAAAATCAAACTAAGTTTAATTTTGGACCCTTTGGACCTTAATGTAGACCAATTTAAAAAACGGGACCCAAAATTAAAAATCTAAAAACACGGTTAGATTTGGCATATCAAAGAACCCCAATAATTCAATTTTTGATGAAATCAAACAAAGTTTAATTTTGGACCCTTTTGACCTCAATATGAACCAATTTGATAGCGGGCCCACAAAATAAAAAATCTAAATACATGGTAAGATTCAGCATATCAAAGAACCCCATATATTCAATTTTTGTTGAAATCAAACAAAGTTTAATTTTGGACCCCAATTTGGACCAACTTGAAAACTGGGCCAAAAATCTAAAATCTAAATACATGTTTAGATTCAGCATATCAAATAACCCCATATATTCAATTTTTGTTGAAATCAAACAAAGTTTAATTTTGGACCCCAACTTGGACCAACTTGAAAACTGGTCCCATAATAAAAAATCTAAACACATGTTTAGATTCAGCATATCAAAGGACCCCAAAATTCAATTTTTGTTAAAATCAAACTAAGTTAAATTTTGGACCCTTTGGACCTTAATGTAGACCAATTTAAAAAACGGGACCCAAAATTAAAAATCTAAATACATGGTTAGATTTGGCATATCAAAGAACCCCAATAATTAAATTTTTGATGAAATCAAACAAAGTTTAATTTTGGACCCTTTTGACCTCAATATGAACCAATTTGATAGGGGGCCCACAAATAAAAATCTAAATACATGGTAAGATTCAGCATATCAAAGAACCCCATATATTCAATTTTTGTTGAAATCAAACAAAGTTTAATTTTGGACCCCAATTTGGACCAACTTGAAAACTGGGCCAAAAATTTAAAATCTAAATACATGTTTAGATTCAGCATATCAAAGAACCCCATATATTCATTTTTTGTTGAAATCAAACAAAGTTTAATTTTGGACCCCAACTTGGACCAACTTGAAAACTGGTCCCATAATAAAAAATCTAAACACATGTTTAGATTCAGCATATCAAAGAACCCCAAGAATTCAATTTTTGTTAAAATCAAACTAAGTTTAATTTTGGACCCTTTGGACCTTAATGTAGACCAATTTAAAAACAGGACCCAAAATTAAAAATCTAAATACACGGTTAGATTTGGCATATCAAAGAACCCCAATAATTCAATTTTTGATGAAATCAAACAAAGTTAAATTTTGGACCCTTTTGACCTCAATATGAACCAATTTGATAGCGGGTCCACAAATAAAAAACTTTAAATACATGGTTAGATTCAGCATATCAAAGAACCCCAAGAATTCAATTTTTGATGAAATCAAACAAAGTTTAATTTTGGACCCTTTTGACCTCAATGTGGACAAAGTTGATAACGGGGCCCAAAAATCAAAAATCTAAATACATGGTTAGATTCAGCATATCAAAGAACCCCATATATTCAATTTTTGTTGAAATCAAACAAAGTTTAATTTTGGACCCCGATTTGGACCAACTTGAAAACTGGGCCCATAATCAAAAATCTAAATACATGTTTAGATTCAGCATATCAAAGTACCCTAAAAATTCAATTTTTGTTAAAATCAAACTAAGTTTACTTTTGGACCCTTTTGACCTTAATGTAGACCAATTTGAAAACGGAACCAAAAATTAAGAATCTAAATACACGGTTAGATTCGGCATATCAAAGAACCCCAATAATTCAATTTTTGATGAAATCAAACAAAGTTAAATTTTGGACCCTTTGGACCTCAATGTGGACCAATTTAAAAACGGGGCCCAAAATCCAAAAACTTAATACACGGTTAGATTCAGCATATTAAAGAACCCCAAGAATTCAAGAATAAAACCCCATTGAAATTGATCAAGAAATAAGCAATTTATACGAAGTATCTTCTTTTGCACAATACTGTGCAATTGAATATTTCTTGCTATTGTGCAATACTGTACAATTGACAATTTCTTGCTATTGCGCAATATTGTGCTATTGGATATTTCTTGCTATTGCGCAATACTGTGCGATTGAAGATTTCTTGCTATTGCGCAATACTGTGCAATTGAAGATTTCTTGCAATTGTGCAATACTGTGCAATTGAAAATTTCTTGCTATTGCACAATACTTATTATATAATAATTTACACATCCTGTTTGGTGTGTATCTCCTACCATATCATTATTATTTGCTTTTAAATATTAATCAGAAATAACCAACTTAAAATGGAAAATTTTAAAAGAAAAAAAAAAGGAAAAAAAGAAAAAAAAAATTCCCCCCCCAAATTTTTTGAACCCCCTTATGATTCATCACCCCCAAACTCAATCCCAGCCTTCCCTTTGTGGTATGGTACCTTGCAGTACAATTTCAGAGAGATCCATAAACTTGAACACAAGTTATTGTCTGGAAACTAGAAAAATGCTTATTTTTGGCCCCTTTTTGGCCCCCAATTCCTAAACGTTTCGGGCAATTACCCCCAAACTCAATTCCAGCTTTCCCTTTGTGATATGGAACCTTGTAGTACAATTTCAGAAATATCCAAACACTTACACACAAGTTATTGTCATGAAACTAGAAAAATGCTTGTTTTTTGCCCCTTTTTTGGCCCCTAATTCCTAAAATTTTGAGGCAATTACCCCCAAAATCAATCCCAGCATTCCCTTTGTGATATGGAACCTTGTGGTACAATGTCAGAGAGATCCATACACTTACACACAAGTTATTGTCTGGAGGTTACAAAAATGCTTATTTTTGGCCCCTTTTTGGCCCCTAATTCCTTAACTGTTGGTACCATAACCCCCAAAATCAATCCCCACCTTCCTTTCGTGGTATTGAACCTTATGGTAAAATTTCATGGAGATCCATTCACTTAAACTAAAGTTAGAGTGCGAAAACCAATGTGTCTTCGGACGACGACGACGACGACGACGCCAACGTCATACCAATATACGACCAAAAAATTTTCAATTTTTGCGGTCGTATAAAAAGGAGTTATTTTTATTTTATTGAAAAGAAGGAAAAGGTGTATTACAGTAATAACAAAAAAAAAAAATCCTTCAATTCACTTGACAAAACCTATTAAAACAAAAGAAAAAGTTTTAATATCAAAAGTCCCAGTGAGGCCTTAACATGGAGTGAAAGCCTAAACCTCAAAGCAAGATATACAAATCCATAGCAACTGTTAAAGTTGATTTCTCTGCTAGGCATTTATGCTACATCTGTGGCACAGTGCAAGGAAGCACAATGCTATATCTTATTGTCAACAATTACAGACATAAAAAAATTCATTCTTATACCACATTTCTCTTTTTAGTAGGAATATTTATAAAATGCAAAAACTATATTGTGTATTTATCTCTTGACTTCACAAACACCAACATTACCTCTAACTGTTTTGTAAAATACTTTGCTTGGAGCTCTAAAATGAAATGGGCCACGGGATGGCTTGACATTACATCTTAACTTCAGGTAGTCAAGATACTTCACTGTAAAAGAAGAAAATACATATAAATATCAATTATTCTACCTAAATTTGCAATTAATACATGTAGCTAATTTGATTCAATGTAGCAGCTCAGGATAAAAGCTAGCCTACAGAAAAATCATTTTTTTCTGATTGATTTTTCAGAGACCAAACTTCCACTCACCATTTTTAGAAAGGATGGGTGGTGCTGCTCAATATTAAATTTTCTGTTCAATGTTTCCATAATTGTTCATTTAATCTTAATATGGTCATGATATTGTTTGTCTTTCTTCGATTTGTGGTAAATTTTTTATGGTCCCAATTGTTTCTGACTTTGTTACAATATAAAATTGAGAAGCACCATCAGAATATTTTTTCTACATCAACTTCAGACAATGTAGGTAAGAATACAATCATCACTGATGCTATTTCACTAATCAAGAAATTTTATGAAGAACACGCAAGTCTCTGTTTTTAAGAATCTAAATTTGTTTGATACAGTAAAAATTACTGTTTATAAGAACCGTCTTGGGAAGATCAAAAGAACTCTACAGATTCACATAGGGAACAATCTAGTTAAAACTGTGTGGTCCAATAATCTTAATTATTACAGTCTAATGTGCAAATTTTTTAAAGAACTTTTAACACCATGGACAAGACGTGAACATGAATTCACCATTGTTCTCATATTTTGTATATATTGAAACCATTTGCCCAAGAAAATCAATTAAATTTCATACAGATAATAGTCATTTATAGTGAAATCTATGTCACAAAACACCATCAAAAATGAAAAGTTTAAGGGCAAACACAAGTTTTAGAAGCCTGAATGCAGTGGCTGTGTTCCAAAATATTCAGGTATTTTTGCTATTTTTGGGGTTTGTATTTTTTATATATTTGCTTAACATAGATGTTGCAGATATCTACAAACTGACCCTTTTTGTTCTCCCATGGAATAATTGTCCACTAGATGGACTCTTTAAAAAAAAATCTAGACAGTCAACTTAAACACACCATCAGAATATTTTTTCTACATCAACTTCAGACAATGTAGGTAAGAAATAGATCATCATCAGTGCAATTTTTATTGTTCAAAAATTAACTGTAGACTTTTAATTAAATCACCATTCTCTTGGTTTCTACAAGTTCATTACATGTGAAGTTGAACTGTATGAAAGCATATAAAAAATACACATTCTGGGGATAACAACCACTTTATTTATTTCCTACAGATACATGTATCAATTTTCAATATATATATATATACAAACAACATTGACTGTATAAAGTTACAATTATAGAAGCATGTGTTGAATGTCAAATTTATTTACATATATAATACTGAATGAAGTAAATTACAGCTTTTACATTTAAATAGTCATATTTCTGTTATCAGTTGGCCATGTCTAAGATGATGATGATGGATGACTGCTTAACGTCCAGCAGCAAATAAGTATGCATATTCAGAAAGAGAACATGTTCAGTGTGAATAAATGCTCCGTGTTGAAGGCCGTACCTTGACCTATAATGGTTTACTTTTATAAATTGTTACTTGGATGGAGAGTTGTCTCATTGGCACTCATACCACATCTTCCTATATCTATGTAAATGTAATATGAATATTAACCCTGCTTTGTACTAGACCAACTTGCTGAGCTGGATTTTGAACGTGCCAGTTCACAAGGTAACAGTCCACAGGAAGACATGTCACCTTTTCCAGACTCCAAGCTGACCAGTCTTTGCTCTTACTCATTAATGCTGCGTGCTTAGCGGAGGAGAAGCAAATACCAATTTTAAAGTCTTTGGTTTGACACGCCGGGCCACGTCTAAGAAGTGTGTGCTTTGGTCAATAGACTTCTTGTAATATTTCACAACTGAGATTGTAAACAAATAAACAGATTAGATTGGTAACTTTTTGATCAGTCAAATCAGTCCAAATTTTTCTGTACTCTCGACAGGATGAACACATATTTTAATGTATTCTGTGAACACCTTAAGTAAAATTTTGGTATTTCAGGTGATATTGATCACTTGTTTATCAGTGGTATCATATGACTCATCGATGTTCCACCTGCGAGCCTTTTTTCCAATGTGTGTATATTTAACATTCATCAAAGCTATACAAATTAGTCATGTGTAGCTCTTTCAGCATACAGCAGCATCAGAATAAATTATCTTCACAACATTCAGACAATGTAGGTAAGTTTAACAATCATCATTTAACTACTGCAATGCTTACTCAATACAGGCAAATTTGTATTTATAATGAGACATTTGACAGAATTTCTTTTTTATTCTTGAATTCCATATTCTTTCAAAACAGTACCTTTAAAATCCAAGACAGCTGACGGTACATTTTTATATTGAAAACTTGCAATACTACCATCATTTCTGCCCTTTTTTTTCAAATTCTTATAACATTTTACTTACACTTAGATCTAAAGAAGTTGCCAGAGATGTTGATACCTTCACATCTTACAACAACCACTCTTTGTCCTGTAATGAATACAATATTTTAAGTGTTTTAAGGTTGGTAGGGTTTTATCTTTTCACAATTTATAAAAATATCAAAATTGCACAAGAAACTGTTCTCAGTGTCCCCGCCTGCCCTAAATAGAAGGGCGGCCCGCCCTTGGTGCCCTTACCCCCGCCCTTCTGCCCTCCAAAGTAAAAGAATGCACCCCTCTGCCTTTTCAAAAAAATAAAATTTCCAAATTTCATGCCTACCGGCGTTTCCGGTAAAATTGTTAGCTAACTGATTGTGTAACACTAATTAACTGACAATGGGATTAAGTTAAATACCTAGTGCTTTGGCAGTGTTATCACCTTTGTTAATGATTGTTTACTGCTAATTAGTGGATTTAAGGTTATTGAACAAATACTAGATATTTAATACAGAATGAAATGTCCACATGTTATCCATTTGTAATGTTTATGTACAGCATGTACACCTGAAAAAATTATTTCAGGAGGCATAACATAAAAAATAAAATCTTAACAATTTCAAAAGGCATACATAGTTTTGACTTAATTGGTAAAAAATGTTTTGTTTCATAACCATGAGTATGAAATTTAAAGAAGAATCAAAGAAATTTGTACTTTGAACATAACAAGATTCACTTCCTGTTTTACTTCTTGTATTTTATAATCCTCCTGACATAGGAGCACTCAACAAAATTATTTTTAACAATGATGGAGAAAAAAGTAACTGTTTATACCTTCTGGAATATTTTATTGCATCACTATAATATGATCATCTACAGTCTCACCTGTTATATTTATAAAATTCCTTACTAAGGAGCACTTTGGTGTGCACTTAAAAATACTTTTTTGTAACAATTCAAATGATAATAAATAACTCTCAATAACATATATACTATATGTTTGAACAAGTAATTTAAATGTAGATAATTTAATTACATTAAACATTCAATTTTGCATGTATAACTCCACCTTTCAAAACTACTTGTTTATTTTCATAGACTGGTATAAGTTATAAAACATTGAAATTTCTGATGATTATTTTCCTTACCAAATGTACTAGTTATCAAAATGATATATATATGCTTTGCTTCATGGTATGATAATTTGATAAAAAAAAATTTCTTACTGGAACCAATATCAAGAACACATTAATTTCTGAATATGGTTTAAATACAACTAATGTTCTCCAGCTGCATGAGCCTAGCAATATTCAAGGTAATTTATACACTGTCCAACAGTGCCCTTAAAATCTGGGTTATAACGCTAGTGTGCCCTTTCAGACAACTAGCACCCTTCTGCCCTGAGATTCAAGCTGGAACACTGGTTCTGGATTTATCTTTTTATTACTGAAATCTTAAAAAATACTGAGCTCCTTTACATTATTGGGGTGACAAATATTTATTTTGGTATCTGAGGTCAGAGGATGTTTCTTCTGACCAATATTAATTAAAGATTTTATAAAAGAAACTACAATGTAAAAATTTGTAAGGGTTCCGCGGAACCCAGTGTCTCGCCTACTTTGCTGTTAGTCGCAAGCTCAACAAAAATGGGGAAAAAATTATTTAAAATTTTCCTCTAGATACTATCTTTTGATTGTAAGAAGTTCTTTTCAAGTTTGGTAAAAATCCAAGAAGGTTTATGAATCTAATAAATGTTTTAAAAACTTTAACTGCAGACTGTACGTAATGTTAACTGGAATAAAACTAAGTCCATTTATAAGTAATATACGGAAAAACAGGAAATAAATTTTTACAAAATTTCCTTCCAGATACTAGCTTTTGATCATAAACAAGCTTCTGTCCAAGTTTGGTACAAATCAGGATAGTTTGAGAGTTATTAAAATTTTGAAAGCTTTAACCACAGAGTGAATGTAATGTTAGCTGGCAGAAAAACTAAGTCCATTTATAAGTAAAATACGGATAAACAGGATTTTTTTTAACAAAATTTACTTTTGAATACTATCTTGTGATCACAAACAAGCTTCTGTCCAAGTGTGGTACAAATCCAGGATAGTTTAAGAAAGTTATTAAAATTTAAAAAACTTTAACCACAGAGTGAATGTTATGTTAACTGGCAGAAAAACTAAGTCCATATACGAGTAAAATACGGATAAACAGGTTTTTTTTGGTTTTTTTTTAATTTTCTTCTGGATACTATCTTATGATTATAAACAAGCTTCTGTCCAAGTTTGGTACAAATCTAGGATAGTTTAAGAAAGTAGTTAAAATTTAAAAAACTTTAACGAACAGAGTGAATGTAATGTTAACTGGCAGAAAAATTAAGTCCATTTATGAGTAAAATACGGATAAACAGGATTTTTTTTAACAAAATTTACTTTTGAATACTATCTTGTGATCACAAACAAGCTTCTGTCCAAGTGTGGTACAAATCCAGGATAGTTTAAGAAAGTTATTAAAATTTAAAAAACTTTAACCACAGAGTGAATGTTATGTTAACTGGCAGAAAAACTAAGTCCATATACGAGTAAAATACGGATAAACAGGTTTTTTTTGGTTTTTTTTTAATTTTCTTCTGGATACTATCTTATGATTATAAACAAGCTTCTGTCCAAGTTTGGTACAAATCTAGGATAGTTTAAGAAAGTTGTTAAAATTTAAAAAACTTTAACCACAGAGTGAATGTAATGTTAACTGGCAGAAAAATTAAGTCCATTTATGAGTAAAATACGGATAAACAGGATTTTTTTTTTACAAATATTACTTCTGGATACTATCTTATGATCATAAGCTTCTGTCCAAATTTGTTTGAAATGCAGGATAGTTTAAGAAAGTTATTAAAATTTGAAAAACTTTAACCAGAGTGAATATTTGTGGACGCCGCCAAGGACGAAATGTAGGATCGCTATGTCTCGCTTTTGTGACAAAAGTTGCAGGCTCGACAAAAATCAAATTGGACATTTCTATTTTCTCTTTAAGGTTCATCAAAAGGAATTGAAAAATATAGCAGTGTTTATACCACAAAATCTACGCAATGCATTTGAGAAAGTTTTAAGGCATGGCTGGACCTTGATAGCTATATGTAGTTTATGTTCCAGAAATTTAAAAACTTACCTGGATTTTGATGTGCATTTTTTTCCATTCTGCAGCAGATAGCAAAATAAACAAGCACTCGAGTTTAACAAGTTTAAATCACCTATTGTTTTAAGATATCTATTGTCCATTCAAATCAATACAACTCACACTTATTATATGAGAGGAGCTTCTCAAACCTCTTTCCCCAACTTATAGCACCGTCTACAGGAATGAAAAAGAAAATGAATAGAAAAATCCAGTTTAGTTTTTAATATTTTCAAACTTAAAATGCATTTTAATTTTATATATCTAGGTCCAGCCATGCTCTAAAACTTTTCCAGATGCACAGGTTTGTCTGTACCCAGAGAAGTTTGTGGTGTAAATACGGCCATATTTGCTAAAAGGATGTGACCCTTTAATAAAACACTGTTTTTTTTTTAATGCTCTCACCTTGTAAAATTGTTTTGGAAACTACTGCAGCTAAACGTCCCATTAAATGCCCCCTGGCATCAATGATGATGGGCTGGAAAAGAAAATATTAGAAATCTGATTCACACAATTCTGGTCATTTAGAGAGGATTTGAACCTTTTTCTTCAAATGGTCAAATTCATGCCAGAAGTCATGGAATGAACAAACTTGTATAGATTTCAATATGACTGTAATGATTTGACATTAAGTTATTTTCCTTGGTGCCAAGTTGGAGGTGTAACTGTAGGTCATGTGACGCTCGTTTCAAATTTCAGGCCCTTAGACATTATTTATCTAAATATATTTATATTTAAAGAGAACAGATTTTTAAGTCCAATTAAGATCAGAACATTGTTTCATTTAACAGAAACAAAAACATGATTGGTAACTAAAAAGTAAAAAATGAGTAAATTGATTTTTATTCCATGGATGCAAATTTAATCAAAAATATTTTGAAGTTTAAATAAATTTTGAGCATTGTTACAGTATATTGCTTCTGTTTTAACTTTAATCAGACTTTCCAATTGACCATTGGAATTGACACGTCAAAATTGGAATAATTGATGAAAGAATACGAAACCAGTCGTCCCAGAATTCATTTTTTTCTAAATATTCAAATCAATAATATACAATAGGCCTGACCTGCATGTTGTACCAGGTTCTACTACAGAGTGAAAACCAGCAGCTATGACATGGTCATGAACTTACACTACTTTCATTACAGAATTGGGTCAAAATACAAAACCAGCAGAGTAACCATATTTCTAAAGATTTTCTCCATAAAGGAAAAGACTATTTGGAAATAAGTACAGAATATTTACATGCAGTGAAATTTTAATTTTTTTCTTTGGTTTCAGATATGATCAGATGTACAATTTTTTTTCTGGACTGAAATCCCATGTCATTTTGATCATTGGCCTTTCTGAATCGAGACTTGCCTGGCAAGTATGACTTGTTTCTTGTCAAATCTTGGGATTATTTGAAAAATGGGGGGATTGTTCGATTGATTGAATTAACACACTACTTTACTGATCATTGTAGATTTTGGACCTGTATTTCATCCAAAGTACTCAACTTATTACTTTATACATATACTCTAACTTAGCAAAATTCATTTTATTGGACAAGTGCCTGTTCGGTCTATAATAGACCGAACAGGCACTTGTCCAATAAGACTATAGAGCAAAATTCTCGAAAAAAGAGACACCTTTCCTTATTTTCTGTAAACCTTCATAATTTTATCACCACTCAGTTTTTTATTGACTGATCATGAATCATCATGGTTTGAATCAGTGAAATTAATGAATACTGAAAAACAGCGAAATCGAAAGAATGTCAACACGTGGGTTTCACGATGTCAAAATGACTGCAGTGGTGATTTATTTCGATAAAGGATTACAAGATATATAACAGTGGATATCATTCATTGTTTTGGGATTTTGGTTTTTTGCATGTTTCGTTCTATCGACATGTATTATTGGTAAAAATTCTAAACAACTAGTTATGCACCTTCTCCGTGAAACCCATGTTGAAAAAAAGGAAGTACTACGGGGTTCACAATATTAAATTCACGAGAAACAGGAAACAGAATAAAATTCAAGTTTTGACTGTGACAACGTTGATATTTTCCGTAATTGACAACTAATAGTGTTTGGCGAAAGGTGCTTTATTAGAATGAACGATATAATGCCCCTCAACGAATGAAAAGAATAAACTGAAGGATCTAAACCAACAAGAACAATTAACTCTCTGAAAAACGGATCTAGATAAAGACAATAATTTACCATTGACATGTAAAGCAAAAACGGGAGCATACTTATTACCAGGTATTAAAGTCACAAGATGTTTGTAAGCTCGAACAGGACATATTAATGGCTCGACTGAGCAGCATAGAGAAACCTGATGTGTGTAATTGTGATCTTGTCTAGTCTTTGATCATTTCAATAAAAGAAGGATACCCTTATCACTAACAACAACATTCTTCCTGATCAATTGTTCACGGGAATTAAAAGAACTGAGCAGAGCTTCTGCTGACCAGGTTTGACGCCCTAAGCATACCAAAAAAAAGCAAACGTTAGAAAACACCATAAACAAGCATCTACATAATCATAAATATTCAACAACCTAACAATATCAATCAGTAAATGTGTCGATAACAATGGCAATTTTGACACAGCCACACAGTGCTGATTCGTATGGCTCAATCCCCTTAAAGTCAATTTCAAATCTGTAGATAAAAAAGGTTCCACAGTAAAACCAAACAGTTGACTCCAGGTCTTAATGCCAGAAATATAATTCTTTAAAAAAAATTACAGAAGAAAAACTGCGTAAACTCTTGGATAAAAAACATGCGTAAGCACACAAGGTATCCTTAATACAAGGAAATGGTCGATAAAACACACAAAAAATATGGTATGCATTGAGTTGACTCTTCAGATTAGAATAAGTACCAGGCCGAAAGGCTGCACCACTAGCAAACGTGACCTCTTTCTGTAAAACTGCTCTTCTGCATGGACTTAAGACCTGGAAGACACAAGACAACAGTAATTAGATAAACAACAAATGTCATATTCATTATCATAGTTACTCTTATCACCAATTATGCGCTAAAATAGTATAAATGTATCATGTATGAACACCTAGATAATAATGATATTATTAAACATGTGACTAAACACTTCTTTCTCGACAAAATCTGAATTGTACATCTTAGATCCTATGAACAACTGTGATCTGTTCTTCTCCGAAAGATTCCAACGGGATATTGTCGCACACAAGTACCATATTTGACGTGCCAAATTCAACATTTCCTGATTACGTCCTGATCCCCCATTTAAAATATCGACACATGATTGATAGTCGCAAAACAGCTGTACACGTTTATTTGAGATACTAGATGTCCAAAATTGAATTGCTATATAAATCGCATACATTTCAAGCACAGATATGTGCATGTCCCGCAAAGATTCCGGCATGTCCGAATGAAAATATTCAAATGTCATGAAGTTTACACCACCAATACCCATGAGACAAGCGTCAGAGGAAATAATTGCGTCTGGTGAAGACCAATCTACACCAGGAATTATACTAGTTCCATTATAGTCATGTAAAAATAATAACCACCACCTAATGTCTTGTCTAAATTCATCAGTGATATATGAACACAATAATGATTAAAATGGTATTTTCGTTTAATGTCTGTAACATGCGGGAAATAAAAAGTCTTCCGCTTCGGACGCATTCGGAAATAAATGCTAACTTGCCAATAACTTGTTGTAACTGACGTTTAGAGCAATGTTTTTTCCGGGCAAATTTTTGTAACAACTCATAAGTCTCTTGCAATTTAGTCTCTGGAATTCGAACTGTCATGTCAATTGAGTTATACTCATTGCCGAGAAATGTCAAAACTTTTGTCGGCACTTTTCTTTGCTGACCTCTAATCCTAACCTCTGAAACAATTCTAAAACAAAATTATAGTAAGTAAGTAAATAAGTAAGTAATGACTTTATTTAAAGAGGGTGACTCAATTAGCATTTACTAATCTACCTTGAGGCCCTCACTAAGAACAAACAGTACAAATATCACAAAGCTTACAAATTTGAACATATTATGTAGATGCAATATTCATGCTAACTATACATTGTCTGTAGAACAAGAGAAAATTAAATTCATATATATGCATGCATAAAATACAAAATCATTAAAATATATGAGTGAGTTGTTATAAATCATTTACAGTCAAGAATTCTATACATTTTTGTTTAAAAATGCCCAGGTTTTCACAACATTTTATTTCATTTGGTAGTTTATTCCAAAGTATTGAGGAGCAATATGCGGAAGATTTCTTCATTGAATTTGTGTTCGGTCGCACAACAGCTAAATTATTATTTGCAGATGACCTTCGATTTCTACTATGTAGGTTAACAATTGGACAACAGAGTTCCTTTAAGTAATCAGGTGCTTTATCGTTGAGAATTCTATGAACAAGAATAAGTTTATGATATGAAATTCTAGATTTGAAATTTAACCATTTTAGCTCTTTAAATAAATTTATGCTAGGTGTTAGTATTGGTGCATCAAGTATAATCCTTGCAGCTCTTTTCTGCATTTTCTGCATTTTTTGATATCCATCTACATAACAATTTCCCAATATTGAGCAACAAAAATCAAATATGGGAAGAATATAAGCATTATAAAACAGCTTTCTAATCCGCAAACATCTCTTTTGGCCAAAGCTTTTTGTTTTTGTCTCATCGATTAATGTATGCTCCACATCTTATTGTATTCATATTAATTAACAAATTCACAACTTGTCGTAACACGGGGTGATTCACGGCGTGACATATAATGCATACATATTTGATGTTTATAATGACATTATGTTACTCAGTCTTGATTTTTTTTAATGGAATGTTGATTGTCTTTTCGTCGTTTTTCGTTTTCGTCGAAGTATTGTGAGTTTTCCCCCGACTTAAGAATTTTGATTGCCCCTTTGGTGTATTCCGTGTTTTAATATATATGTATTTTTTAAAACTTGTTCATGTTAATTGCTTGCTATGTTTTGTTTTAGTTATGTGGATTGGTGGTTGTTTCATTTATGTTATGATTTTTTAAAAAGTTTATTCCGACTGCATTTTGAACAATCTTGATCTTGAAGAAAAGGAATCCTTTGTATACACTCTCTTACTAGCTGTTCATTTTGCTACAGATTGCTGTCGATATGTCCTTTTGGTATTTGTGTAATTTGTTTGCATTCTTATGCTATTGACGTTTATCTCGCACATCCATGTAGACATATGATGTTCAAAACCAGCAATACAATTAATTCAAAGGGTTCATTCCCTCTATTCCCACTTTTTATAAATCTGGTAAGAAAAGTTAATATTTCATGTGGGAATAGGGGGAAAACTTGTGCAAACAAAGGATTATACTGTACAAACATTTTTTAATCAACTGTTAATTGACCAGTGTTTTTTTTTATTAGGACAGGTAATAAGTTATTTTTGCATCTGTATGGATTTTTTTTTTTTTTTAAACAAAATAAATATGAAAGAAATTAAAATATATAATTTCTTTTAGAACACAAATTCAACTGTAGATTCAAGCAAGCATAATATAACACAAATTATACAACAGCACTAAATCAAATCACACATTCTAGCACATACATTAGACAATCACTGTATACAAGTCTATTAAAGTTTATCAATCTATTCCACGTGAACAAGGTGGGAGGCTGCATCACCAAACTCTAACTCAGTCAATTAAAATTAATCAAATCTGATTGCTCATGCTTTGAAGTAAAGTTAACAGTTTTCACCCATTATTTTACATCTTTGATTATTGGTCCAAGTAATTATATTTTTAGAGTATACTTTTGTTCCACATCTGAAGATTATACTTGGTTATAATATTATTTTATATCATGATTTATTTGTACAGCAGACAATTCTTTAAGGTTATAAATTCAAAAATTTTAAAATAAATCTTACTCCAATCTATTTATCATAATTATTCTTTATTTTTAAATATATCTTTGACGAAAAAAGAAATAAACTAGGTATTATACATAAACAGTGTACCAAATATGTTATGTTTAAAAAAAAAATACAGGTAAATCTTAGGTGAAATTCTAATTAACCTTGATTGTTATAAAAACAAATTATTTATCAAAACATCTATTGTTATTTGCATGTGGGAATAGAAGGAATAGTATTTTTAAAAAGTGGGAATAGGAGGAAGACACCATTCAAAGCGATGACGGTTCATTCCTCCTATTCCCACTTTTTATAAATCTGGTAAGAAAAGTTAAAATTTCATGTGGGAATAGGGGGAAAACTTGTGCAAACAAAGGATTATACTGTATAAACATTGTTTAATCAACTTTTAATTGACAAGTGTTTTTTTGGATAGGTAATAGGTAATTTTTGTATGTGTATGATTTCTGTGTTTTTCGTTAAAATAAATATGAAAAAAATGGAAACAAATATAAGTTAATTATTTTATTTCTTTTATAACACAAATTCAACAGTAGATTCAAGCAAGCATTATAATATGAAACAAACAATACAAGTTAACAGCACTAAAACAAATCACACATTGTAGCACACACATTAGAAATTCACTGTATATAAGTCGATTAAAGTTTATTAATCTATTCAACGTGAAGAAGGTGGGAGGCTGCATCACCAAACGGGACTGTTGTGACTTCCAAGTTGCGGTGTCTAACCTTAAGCTTTTCTTATTTGTTGTTGATTTCGACATATTTTTATTTTTGTGCCACTCTCTTCCCATCGGCTGCATACTGGATCATGATCAGGGCGTTGAAAGCTTCCTCATGTTTCAGTAGTTTTATGAGTTTAAAGATGTTTGGATGTGGGTGCTGGACATGTTTCTTCAGCTTGCTGTGCCATCCCTTTAGATGATGTGTAGTCCTCGGTCCCTGTGTTGTGTAATGGTCCCAAAGGTGAATGTTCTGTTCGACCCAGTATGTTGTTACATAGTCTGTAAAGGGCGTGTAGTTGATGTTAGTATCAATCTGATCTATGTCGGTTAGGGCATTAAACCACACATCTTCGACCTC